TGACCCGTTTGCCGCATGAAGTGTAAGAGCCGTGGTTGAGTGACGTTCCTTAGATGAAGACGGTAAGACGCTGACTTCAGCACCAGGATCGACTAAGAAACGCTTGTGGGTCAGGTTATCTATAACGTGAAAAAGGCGACTTACGTTGGGGCCTAGAACAGTTGTCGCCGTCACTGTCTGGCCTTGTCGTTTACCTGTTGACGATGGTTTGACACAATTACGTGCCTTTGAGCCAAACTTTCGATGGTATCGGCAGATCCATGTTGTATAATGAACGTGAACGTGTAGGATGAGAGCGTGAAGTTGAGCGAGAGCGGTGAGTTAGTTTGGCGGAAATTTGGGAGATCTGTAGAGGAAGGTCTGAAACTTGTTACTTCAGGGCTTCAACCTCGGTCTGTGTGTTTGAAGTCATGGCTACTGATTGCACTGAAGGAGAGGGCTTAGAACCGTAGCAGGAAAATACTTGCTCAGCCAGTTCGGCCAATTTTGACAGCGTTGTGTCTTTGTCAACAACCGACAAGACCTTCCTTATATCCCCAGGGAGGTTTTGCAACCACAACTCCTTGAGGATGCTCTCATTTACCGCCTGCTTTCCTTGTAGCTGTGTCATATGTCGGAGTAGTTGAGCGGGGGTACGATCACCTAGTTCCACACCGGCAAGTAAAACACGGAGGTTCTGTTCATCGGTGGCTGCTGTTCTCGTAATCAAAGCATCTTTTAGTACATCGTATGGGTTTACATTGGGGTTTCTTGTAGATGATGTCAGCAATTTCGACGGCAACTTCAGGTGGAAGATGTGCAACAACGCAACTATACTTGGTTTGTTGTGATCTAACGCGACGGCACTCAAAAATTGCCTCTACCTGAGCAAACCACAGTCCAGGATGATGAATACCGTAAGCTGATAGTCTTAAACTCAAAATATCTTGCGAGTCCATAGGTAAATCGTTTGAATCAGACATGATAGTAATGAGAAAAAAATGAATACGGGAGTTCTAGGTCATCTAAGGAAGAGAAATAAAATTCGGGCTCACCAATTATGTAGTGGATAACGCCAACAAATACCAGTTCAAAGTTGTTAAATCAAGTGAATAAAAAACAGGCGAGAAGGTACAGCTCACAGTTCGTTGGTCACTGACAGCGTAACTCGACACAGCAAGAATGGAACACGCCTTTCGCGACGTACAGAATTTGTATTGTGTGTATGCATCCATATTTCTTTGCTTTCATTTAAACAAAAGTTGTTCGGTATGAAGAGAAGAGGAATAAGCTGAGATTTAGTGAGCGATAGAAAGTGGTACAATTTGAATAATGATAAGTTAAAAAGAAAGTACTAATGTTCAATGGTCAGAAGGATCACCATACATCAGTTAAAGCACCCTGGAGTGAAAATCAATCAAACCCGATCAGAACCAAGTTGAACCCCCCCAATCCATCAACGAGATACTTTGGCAAACAAACTGTCCGATAAGAGCCGTTAATTGACAGTAAACACTGATCTGGTACGGTAATTTGAAGACGCCATACTGGTTGGTTCTCAGTCCGTTCTAAAACCTTAAACAATTGGCCGGACGAATGTTCTGTCAAAAGTGAAACGTTGCCCATATAAAAAAACTGCTGATTGTTTGCCATACTCTTCTGAAACGATGACTATTCAGCCGGTTTCAGAATTTTTCCAATTGAGGGAAAATCTTCTGCCCAAGGCATGTAATGACCAGCAAACAGACGATGCGGCATTGATTTCGAGGCTACGTGGTAAACCAAGAAATGGAATTGATTAAGTCGGAATCCAAAGGGGCTTACTCCACACCATCATCCGGCAATAAAAGTCTTGCATGAGTTTTTCTGAACAGAACGCAAACTCGAGGTGTGTAGTAAAACGTTCCACCTCACTGTTACATTAACTTGAGTAAGAAGCCTGCAGCTGGGAGCGTATCTGCCGATTGAAACAACCGGGATGATGAAAACAAATAAGGGTAGGTCCTAAAGTTTGCTTGCTTCACAATATCTTTCCGACTGGATCAAAAGGCGGACCATGTTAGCAGAAACAGGTTTTGCAGAAACAAACTATAAATTTTGCGAAACAAGATTGGACCGCTCAAAGCGGCCTACGTGGGTGCATGATATGAAGTGTGGACATTTTAATTTACTCATGAGTAGCTCGAAGTTAAAAGGAACAGAATTTCGCTCCCGTCACGGAAATTTGTCGAATCACGGGCCATCGGAATATCCTCAGAAACGGATAGAACATAACAAAAAAGTTATCCCTAAAATAGACTGACACACCATTTGAGGTAATCCACGATACGCGGTTGAAATCTAAACAATATGTCTTGGACCTGAACCACACAAAAT